TAGGGCGAGGTGGACAACCTGGGGCGGGGGGCGCAACCCCTCAGGGGGGGGCGCGTGGCTAGCAGCAGCCGAGCCGGGGGGCTCGGGGTGCGGAGACACCAGCCCAGTGTGATCAGAGGAAGTCCCAGCAGCAGCAGCGACCGCAGCAGCAGCAGCAGGAGGAGAGAGATGCGGAGGCAGGGGTGCCCTGTCCTCGGCGGCAGCCCAGTCGTATCCTCTCTGCGAGAGTTTATAGTGGATGTACTTCAGCACTATCTCCCGGTTATCGTAGCCTCTTCTCCCCGGGTGAGCCATAATTCCCAAGAGGAAGCAGCAAGAGGAAGGGAGAGAGGAAGAAGAGGAGCAGGATGAACCCAAAAAAGTAAAGCAGCCAGTAATAATAAAATTAATAACACCAAAAATTATAATCCAGTTACTGTATCGGGCACGGTTTCATTCATGGTGGCGTGGGGGAGTTCTCAGGGTCTCGGAGGTACTTTTGTCTTCGCAGTGTTTCCTCCTCGGTTTGAGATGCACAGTATAAATAGGGATTAGAATGTTGTAAATACTTTACTTCCAGGTGCACATTTATTACTTATTATAAATTTACTTTAGGACCATTTCCTCCTCGCTGTTGAAATACATCTTAAAAAATATTATACCGATTCAAAATCAGGTGCATTTTCCCCTAGGTGCTGAACTACCATGGACACGAAGAAGCGGACGAACGCACACCGTAAAAACTGCAATTCAATACGATTTGCTAAACAGCCTTGGATGAACGTTAATCCAACGCACTTTAAGCTAGAAACCTCAACACTGCTTTTTTTTTTGTTACGTTACACAAACTAAATTTCCTCTGTAAAGTACTTACTTGGACTATAAATATGTTCCTCTGTCAAGTTTCCTCTAAAAAAAAAATAGCAACAACAAAACCCAAACATCGCAAGTCTTCAGAAACGTTAAGTTCTGGCCGCTTTGATGCTTCAAGTCACCAAGGGGATGGGAAAGGGACAAAAAAAATATCTCTACAATTTCAAATGTTTTTTCCCAGACTCCCGTTTAACAGACATCTCCAAAGATGTGTCAAAGCTCAGAAAATCCCGCTTTGCAGCCCCGGGAAGGCGAACAACCCCAAAGAGATGGAAAATCCTGGAGACCAGATGAACCACATTTGAATCCAGGCTCTCGCAGAAGTACTCCGTTTTTCCCTCCAGTGCAACGTACAGACAGAGGCATTTACGTAGTTTCATTCAGACACCGATCGCAGGAGCCCGGTGCTTCCACACACACGCACGCACACAACAAAAAAAATTGAAAAAAAAAAATATATGTAGGTAATTAATTCTTTTTTCACAAGAAAGAGCGTAAAACAACAATAAAAAATAAAAATAACGAAGGAAAATTGCTTTTGACTGTGGCTCCGGGGAGAAATGCCATTTCCCGAGCAGCTTTGTATCGGAGGAGGAAGAGCCCCCAGCGCTGCC